ACAATGAAGGACTTGATCAGTGAGCATGGGTAGCAGCTCACAACTAACTAACATATAAACCAAATCTTGAGAAGACAAATCATGGAAAAAGCTCCAAAAGTGAAGGAGTTAGGGTAATTTAGGGAGTTTACAATGAAGTGCATACTATACCTATACCTATACTTCTCTGCCAGTCAATACTCCACATATGTTTTTGAGTCTGTTATTTTTAATTGCATCATGGAGTGCAGTAGGGTGTGAGTCCAGTACGATCACGGAAATGTGGCAAGCGGTGATGAAACGTCCATTCATGCGGCCACGCATGGATGTGTGTTTATTTAACTACTGTGCAGGTTAATCTGGGTCCTCAAAGCCTGGTGCTGTGTGTTAGTGCCAAGGCTCACAAACCTTCTGCGCTCTGATCAGCCTGCCAGCTTTGAAACCTGAGGCGGCCAGAGAAACCTCCTCCGAAAGCTATGACCCAGGCCTCTCCTGCTCCCAGAAGAAAAATTTAAAGGTAGATCAAGGTAAATAAGGGGAGTTTTTTCTGCAAACTACTGCATGAATACCTCACTTGTCATTAAGTGTGCTGTACCGTAAAAAAAAAAAAAGTTCCATATGTCCTGCAGTACAGTCGGTCATTACAATGTGTCACTGACAGGATTTGGTTGCACCTTTACCTCCACATGCCTATAAACATAAACCATTTAATGGACATCCAGTCTCTGAACGGCTGCGTAGGCAGTGGAGTGCACTCTGAAGGCCAAAACAGTAGCTCAGTAGTGGAGGAAAATTTAAGTGATTTTTCCATTTTTACCGGCTGAGCCATTTTTCCCATGAACAATAAAATGAAAACAACACATAAGCCTCGGGGAACACTGGAAGAAATTAGTCCCCAACTGCAGTAGCTAATCAACACAGCCACAACACACATTGAGACGCCCTTTTTGTGTGACAGAATTGAAGGCAAATACTAGTGTGGCACCCAAACTTTTTTTTGCTGTAATCCTGGTAAACCACATGAAACTCACCATGACAGAAAAAGTTATTTAAGATTTGAGATAATTAAAGAGGAGGGATTGTTTAATGAGCGAAAAAAAAGATTTAATGAATGTCAAAGTAGTTTTGACGAGGGCAGTCTGCATAAAAACCTAAATCATCTTTATGAGATGTAATATATAACACAATCTCTACGGGTTTGTACACCAGAAGAAGAGATATGGCTTCTTTTCATTTTCTATCTGCATTCTCCAATCATCGGCAAACACCAAGAACACCAAAGAGACGTGTGTTTTGGTATGTTCAGAATAGAAAACCAAATATACATTTTCTGTGTTTGGTATTTCAAGCATTCATTAGGCTTTACACACACACACACACACACACACACACACACACACACACACACACACACACACACACACACACACACACACACACACACACACACACAAACAGAGTGACTGAACTAAGAAAATGAGAGAAGTCTTTATCTTTTCTGTGGAGTGAGGAAGAAGAAAAACACTGGTACCAAGCACACTCCTCTGGCGCCGTGCCAGTGTTAAATTTCAAGATTCAGTTTACAGTTTGACTTCATAGCAGCACCTCCCTTCTCTGCAGTCCATCTGTGAGTGAGTTATATTCCTCCAGAATGTGCATGGATGAGGTGCTCATTCGGCAGCCTCTCCAAAATACACCGAGTGGCCATCTGTGGATGACAAAGTCTTCACCACACTTACTTGGATTTCACTTTTCTAATACTTTCATCTCCTCTCTTTCAAGTATTTTGCCTCTGCAGTTGTTTTGATATCCTCCTTGTCAGCTAGACCTTCTCACTTTTTAGCGCTCCTGTTTCTGTTTTTCTCATCTCCACAAAGAGGTAATAAGGCTTTATCTATTTCTCTTATTCCCGCCTGTGTCTGTGCTTGGGTGCACACAGCTCCCTCTTTACTACTGTGTGTAGTACGTGGCCAACACCATCAATCTCTGTTGCTGTTTGAACAGTCAACACAAACAGGAGGCACTGCGTCATTCTGAGTTCGCGTCAGCCTCCTCCCTCCACATTTCTCCCTCCAAATTTGTGCTTCATGAGTCTGATGGCTAACCACACTCCTACACTAACTAGTCATTAGCAAATTGATTTCTAGTTCCTAACCAGTCGTGAGGAGGCCTGCAATCTAGTCCCTAAATCTTTTATGACATACAGCATACAAATGATTGCACAATGCTGTTTTCCTCCCACCTCTGACACACTAAATATAGTGTTTGTAATTTTAGCTGTGTATTTTCAAGTTTTGGTTTGTGGGTGCAGGACGGATCATAGTGTGGATAGTTGATAATATCTGTGAAGCGCCAGCAGGCAGATAGGATCAGCCACCCTCAGGGAAATGACGTACGTGACCATCATGCAACAGCATTGGAGGATAAATCATCAGGCCGTTGATACTCATAGAGGAGTATTCAGTATTCATGCTTACAGGCTGTGCACCATGAGATTGCGGTACACCATCAGCCATCATGTGGTAATGCTGGTAAAACTGATCATCTGTCACACCGCCATTTCTGCAGGGCTGTGTGCACCCATGTCTTAGAGAGGACGATGTGATGATATACACTGTCAGATAAAACTGGGAAATGCCATTCATACAGAGTTAGCTATCCTTTTAAAGAACAGTTTGACATTTTGGGAAATTGAACATTGATAATGTGCATTAAAGGTACAGAGTGTAGGATTTAGTGGCATCTAGCGGTGTTGTTGCAGATTGCAACCAACTGAATACAGCTCAGCTTTCCAACCTGTTAAAAAACACGAATTGCAGGGGATTATAAACTAATGAAAACATACCAAGGAATATCTTATTACATTTCTACAAATAAGTCCTTGGAAATGTTACACATTGGACCTTAAACTATGGAACTTGAGACAGGATAGTGGGTATCCTGACTTTGCCTACAGTTAAAAAATATTGCTGCAGAGCAGACATATAAACTCTGTTCATCAATAAATAGTTATACTACATAACTCTTGGGTGGCAGATTTTTTTTTAACCATTGGACAGTTTCCCTGTCAACAGACTTTATGCTAAGCTAAGTTAATCTTCTCCTGGGTTTAGCTCCATACTTATCACATCAAGACATCAGATTGGAATCAATCTTCTGCAAGAAAGCAAAATGTCAAACTTTTTCTTTAAAGTCTAGCCCAAAATCAAAATATCCTTATTATATTAGGCCATTTTGGGCAATACTGCAAATCAGTGAGTATGACTTCTTCATGGCAAATTTGCATCAGTGTGATGAACTTCCAAGTATTTATAAATATTGCATATACTGTGGAAAAACATATGTGTGCCGTCCACTCATACCTATGTCATATATGAAAGCAAGAGATGGTAATATGTTTTTGTCTGTGCAATACCAAGACTAGCACTGAGCAATGGAGATGTCTTTCTACAAGCCATCTCCATGTGACCTCACAAAATCTATTTAAAGAAAGTATAATCCTTCCTCCAATCTCCTTCACATGCAGACCTGACTTTATCTGCACTTTACAAACTTTACTGGGTTTCAAAGCAGAAAAATCAAGGAACGAAAGAAACGACAACAAACAAGCAAAAGACTTTATTAAGAACCAAGTGACCTATTTTTTGCATGTACAGTAAGTTCTTCCAAGCAACTCTGAAATGTCATATGTATACAACGGGCCTTATTCAAACATCCATCTCTACATGTGGGTGGGCAGGCCGTCAGTGAGCCTGAGGTCACACCCTACTCGTCCTCGTCCTTTTGTGACCTTCCTGTCTACAGTTCATATATTCCACATTAATAAAGGTCATAAAATGAAGGAAACTCTAGGAAATACAGTATAAATAGTGTTGACACATCAAATGACTGAAAGGGGCAGTGTTGCATGGGCATGATGTCAGTCTTGTACCTTGTCAATACAACCAAACAGAAATCCCTTCTTCTGCTCCTTTAAATTTTTCTCATCCTACTTCTCTTCTGAACGAAAATGTTAAAATAATAAAATTTGATGACAGTTTCATTGACTGGCAGCTGTTGTAAAACAAATTTGTTCAAATGAAGAGTTAGATAAGAGTGCAAGAGTGCAGAGTGGTCTTTTTAGGTCATCCTCTCAGCTGGATTTTGTATTAATGGGTAGCATTTCCACAGATCTATGTGCTAATGAACCTGTAGTACCAGGAAAAACTCCTGACAGAAACTTTAACAACCAATCTATGCCAAGGATCAGTAAGCTAACTGGAGAACAATGAGATCATCAGAGAATCAGTCAGATGTGAGCTGCTCTCTGAGTACTGGCCTGAAGTCAGGATGATCTCATAACAGAGCTGCTCGGAGGCAACTTTATCTCTATTTATGCCAATGAGATGTTTAATGTAGTCATTTATTCAGACAACACTTTAGATCAGTAGAACCCAGCTTTATTCAGGCGACTCTGTAGCCTAAAGTTGATTAAATCACAGTATAAACAATTAATAGGACTTTGAGAACACACACTATATCAACAATGTGCTTTAATTATGTTTTTTTGTCTCTCTAATGCTCCTCACTTTGAATCCTGCATGGGCCTTTTTGTTCATTAAAGGAGTCCACGCTGTTTCTATGCAACAATGCTGCCACCATGTGGTCAAAAGGGGTGCACCTTATAAGTTAGACTCCTATGTATGTGAAAGTTTATTCTTGTTTATTTTCTTACCTTTGACACAGTTGAGCTGTCAGAGTGGTGTTATTTTAAGAAAAGTCAAACTGTAGACCCTTGGTCTGCATAAGGACCAACAATAAACAACCCAGTCCAAGATGAACAGATATATCAATGGTGGAAGAAGCATTCAGATCTTTGACTTACATATAAGAGTACCTGTATGTAAAGATACTCCTATTATAAGTATAAGTCCTGCTTTAAAAGCATTTTACTGCTGTTGGTATTATCTACCATCAAAGACCTATGGCTTTTCACTGTGAGGCACACAGTAATGTAAAGCATAACACCAAACGAAGAGAAGAAACTTCATAAAATAGTTTTATTTCATGTTAAATAAGTAAACATGAACAGTATTACACATACTATCACACAACTGTATGTAATCCCTTACTGTGGACTGCCATGGATTAGAGACTCTTTAATATGCTGCTGTATGAATTATTTCAATGTCAAAGATATTCTACCAAAATCACTCAAAACAATGCAGTGTTTTTACATGATTAACTGTTGTATGCAATAACAAAATTAGCATAAATTCATTGTGCCAAATGTACCTATTTGTACTGTACACAATCAACTGTACACTTAAAATACTGACAGGTAAACATTTCAGATTTTTTGTCTCTTTAAGTCTTAAATTTACACTTAAATATAAAAAAATATTTCTCAACAGTGAATGTTTATGCTCAACATTATGCATTCAATATCAGATTTAATTCAGCATTTTAGCGTATTTCTTTTTATAAATAGTTAATACAACACTATATCTAGCTCTTCTTAGAAGGGAAGTGGGTCTAAAGACTTCCTGATTGTGTTGTTCTATCTCAGTATGTTACACTGTAACAGAAAGGAGATCATTTTCAAGGCTTGTATGTTAGTGTGTGCGCGTCTAAAACTTGGCTTCACTGATGATAGAAGTTTCAGCCAGGTTCCCACTCGGGCTGTCAGACGGTCCCTATCAATCAAAACAGGCATGTTAATTCAACAATTTTATGGATTCAACAGTGAAGTTCTCTTTTGTCTGTAGATTTTAGACCTAAATAATCACTGAAAATAGTATATATATATACATATAAACACATGTTCATGTGAACATCCCAGTACATTATTTCTTATCAGTGTGCACAAACCTTACACTCATTCCTACACTCTGTGAAAAACAGCTTTCTTTAGCTTTAGTAAGGAAATATGGCTGCTTGTGTGTAGTTTTTGAGTGTACTGACTACATGCTGGGTGAAAATGAAAAATAGACAAATAAAAGCACATCAATACCCTTTTTCCCAGGAGACATTTTGACTCCTCACAATAGAAGGGGCACAGGTGTTAATAACATTAATGATGGCAGTCAGTTAAGTCATGAATTTGTGACAATGTGCGCATCAGCAGCCATTTTGACATGAAATAGTCGGATAAACACAGGCGTTATTAATGATACTAACTGAGGTTCTGTTCCATTCAGGTCATGCAGAGTCAGGATGTTGCTATTGTGAGTGTTAACTCTCTGGAAAGGCTCTACTACACTAAAAAACTAAAACATTAACGCAATGTCTATAGACTAGTTAACAATCAATCAATGGGTAGAAAACACATTGCTACAATGTCATTATAGCTTAATTATGGACATTTTCAGTACTTGGAAATCTGACATCTTGCTGGAAACAGGAAAAAATTGCTGGTAGAGGTGAATTTGAACGTAAGACTCATCCTTCCATTTCCAAACTGATCACCAAGGTATCAAATGTTCACACTCTGCATTCACTAGCCTTAAGCACACAGTAAGAGTGTGAGCTGTCGGGCATTTATACCTGCGGTTTCAGTTAGAAACCATCCTGCACCTTTATATAATCCATGGCTCTGACCAGGCTTACTGGAGATAATATTCTGCACTGCGAGCTAGCTGAGAGGTTTCCTTTTCATGCAGTTTAAGGCACAAAAACAACTTCACATGTTGATCTTCTCATGAGCTCTCAATCATTCTCATTTGTTTTCTATGTTTTCTTGGAAACGCATCAATACCAGGACCCTGAAACTGAAGCAATTAAATGGGATTCAGCCATCGTTCATTTATTATTTACACCTGTGCTTCACATGTCAAAATGTCCTCTTTGAAAAAGGGCCTGTATATGGATACATTACAAAATGATGCATAAATAAATAAGACCGTAGTTTCATAAATAAAGCTGTTTCAGATCAGACAGAGTTTAAATCAGTCAGCCATGCCCACAGGAAAATAATTCCCTGGAAAGTCATCCATAGTAATCCAGGACACTCCCATGTACGATTTTCTTCTTTAAATCATTATATTGTCAAATACATATCAGATGCATAGGCTCAGGCTGTGATGGGATTAATGATCTGAGATTAAATTAATTGATTTAGATTCAGCTGGAATTCTATAGATACAGTTGGAGAAATCACAAACTGGTTTAGTAATATTTTTTCCCATGTGTACTAGATTGTGTGAATATTATTCAGTGAGAGAGACTGAGAAGGCAGATTTAACAGAGACAGGTGGAAGGGTGTGCAGCAGGTGTTGGTGATTGCTCTGTGCTCCTACCTTTGTGCATTTGTGTCTCGAGCTAAGATTTGAGCAGATTTCATTGTGGAAGCAGAAAGGTTTATTGATCAGGCTTGATAAGGAGGAGTCTGCGGCTGGGAGATTAGTGCCGTGGCTCCGTAGTCTTGTCCCGACATCTGCCCCTCCGCCTAAAACAACAGCTACTGATCACTTCTCATTCAGTGTTTACAGAGGCGTGAGTCTCCAGTCTGGGATGAAGTTGTTGTGATTCTGAATTCTTGCTTTAATGAATTCCCTCTTTTATGTTTGTATTCTATAGGTGATTAAAGTCACTTAAATTATTCTTTATGTTCAAACACAATTCAGTTTGGGTAACAATTTGGAAAATATGCTTATTTGCTTTATTTGTGAGAGTTAGACAAGAACATTGATACCATTTAGTGCCACAGATCTGGACCACTAATTTGAGTATTTCAAGAATGTACATTTTTAAATTTGGTATTGAAGCTTACAGACTTAATACCAGTGTAGACTTGATACGTATCAAACTTGCAAAACTATGTAGAAAATAATTGTTTGTTCATTTTTGGCCAGTACTAATACCACTTTCATATCAGCAGCAGGTTAGCTTGGCCTAGCTCAACTCCCAGGTAAACAAACAAGATATAATGTGTTAATTAATGACCATTAGAAAGGCTGGTTGTTCCCTTCAAAAGAGACAGGCTAGCTGTTCCAGCCTGCTTCCATCTTTATGCTAAGCTAAGCTAATTGTCTCCTGGCTCTAGTTTCCTATCTCACAGAGAGAAGGTATCATTCATCTCATTTAACGCTCCACCAGAAAGCTCATTATTGAACCCTTTGTTCTTCACTGTATCTCAGCATTAAACGTGAGGAATCTGACAGATGATTTTCTGTCAGCACTCATCAGTAACTTCACCACAGAGCTTGGAGACCCACCCAGGCATCAATAAAGAACATTCTGTCCAGGGTCCTGGAACCTGGCTTCAGTTGCTTTTTTGTCACATTCAAACATTATCTTCAATTTGCTCTTCTTCTACCAAAGTTTGGTGAGTTGGTGAGACAGTATGGGTTAGAAACAGGGGGATCATAGCAACAAAACATTAACTGTTGGTACCAGACAAATTCAATAAGATATTTGGCAGTTCATACACTTCTTAACATGCAAGCATATGCAAGCAGATACAAGCAGATACATGCTCTTTTTACAGTGTAGAAAATGAATTACACAACTCTTTGCAATACTTTTGCGTTTCTCTGAAACATTGCTGAAGATCACGTAATATGAACGGCAACGGGCCAAACTCTCCAAACTACGGCTTTATAGTAGACTGGTCCAGCTTATTTGATGTGTTTATCACTAGCAAGCAAATAAGTTGCTCAAATGTGCCTTTACAGGCCTTTTTTTTCTCTAACCAGCCATTATGGAGATAACTGAAGAACTTATGTAACGCAAGTAACAACATTTGATTAGCAAGTGTAATGTGATCACTGTCTGTAATGCATTACATCAATGCGTTACAGACAACTGTAATGTAATTACAGTAATGCATTACTGTGTTACCCAACACTGTCTGCTTTACAACAAAGCTCAACATGCAGCAGAGACACTGTATCAGGTCAAATCCAACAATAGATGTTACGGAGAATTGGTACAGGCAAGCGGGACGACTGAAGACAACAGCAAAAATAGACACAAAAGGGGAGCGCAGAGTAAGTTATTTCTGGAGCAGCACAGGACACACATGTGACTTTGCCTGCATGCCTTCCATGCAAACTTATGACAAGCAAACAATTAACACATAGGCCTTTTTAACAGCAGACATTTTAACTTGTCATAGCAGGAAAAAGGCTTGTTGAGTTTAAATGTCCAGGTAAGCTATGACAGTGACAGTACGTTAGGACCCTTTTCCTGCTGGCACATGTCAAAATGTCTTCTATGAAAAAGGCCTATTCCACATTATACTACCACCACCACGTTTTAGTATATCCCCAACAAACAAACAAACAAACTTTAACACTTACTGCTGCTTTGGCCAACATGTTTGCATTTTGTCTTCGCAGATCAGCCTTTATTAGGCCTGCAGGGAAATAGAGACACAGAACAGGTAAAGCCTGCATGAGATACTGACACACAACTCTTCTTTTACTAAACAGCAAAGTAATAAAAGTTATTTATTTGTCCATCCATATGGCATATGAAGATGGATTTTAGTTTAGAATCGAATGACATGATGTAATAAAGGTAAATACCCAGTAGATGGCGCCTATCATCATAAAAGTGGCTCTATTTAAATTTACAGTTTTAAAAGTATTTCCAAAGACTGTGTGGCAACGAATGCAATAAAATACAGTTAGCCTAACTCAAATCATGCATCCTAACTTACCCTCAAACTTCGCATTGCAAAATTATGAAAACAGCTTGATGGCATCTTAATCATTAACCTCAACCTTCTACTTACAGTGAATGTTTCACAAAGAATTCTAACCTTTGTAACTGAATACATTACAGAGAGCCAACACTGTACTGTATGTGCATTTTGATGGCAGCACATAGGTTTACACAGTATATGTCAAATCAACGTGTGGGAATTCAGTTGTGGTTTTCTCACAAAGCTGTTCTTTTCCTTTTAAAACTGGCATGACGACCACAACAAGAAGTCCACTCATATGTCTAAATGCTGAGTAAGTTACAAAGGACAGTGAGTCAGTCTGCTGACCTTTATGAGAAGGTCTCATTAAATAGTCTTGCAGTGTTTTTCTAGTGCGCTCACAGTTTAGCGCTTCAGTGGCTAAAGCATTTTTTAAAAAGTTATACATTGCTCATAAACCCCTCAATGGGCCATGCAAATAGACTTAAGTGACTTTGCATTGACTGAGGCATTAAATCTCACACTTAATACCCGAACACAAACTGCTACCATGTGTCAGTATGCATGTGCAGCATTTCTGACAGTATGCAACATTTTCCATTACTCAAGTCAATTGTTTTTCTAGAAACTTAGCGCTTTGCTTAATTAAAAACAATCACTTTTGAGTGAGGGGGACAGAACAAGACAAAAACATATGGTTACCCAATTTCTTTCCCAAGCTTAAGTTAAACACAACACAATATTCTGTTTTTACTTTAACCATTCGAAGGAAATGAAAAAATTCCAAGAACTCTAAACCCTGAACTGCTCCCAGGGTTTAAATAGTTTTCCTGTAAGGAGGTAATAAAACTATCTGTTAAGCATATTCAACAATAAAAACACATTTGTCATTGTGTTGGAAATATTCATCTGTATCATAACACAACACTGAAACAGACCTTGAAGTTACAATAACCACCACATTATTGGAATTAAATATTTTCCCACAGGAACATTAGTAAACTCATAACAGAAACAGTGACAGACAAAGACCATTCTTAAGCATCGCAGTATATGATATTAAAATCAGTAGCTGGCTATGACTCTATACAGCATATTCCTCATAGTCACAAAGGTCTTACCTGTCATTATTGTGCCGATTAGAAGAAAGACACAGAGGAAGATGTTTCCTGCCAGTGTGCCAAAGTGGTCGATGATCTTACCCTGGCAAATGGTGAATATGATGCCAAACACCTGTGCATGCAGAACATGCAATAGTTAGGAATAAAGATGGTGTTTGCGTGCACAGACAAGCACGAACACCCTCACAGCCACAGCCACAACAACAACAACACAAACAATGCAAAACAAATGTGCCATCACTCTACAGCTAAGGCCTATCAGATGTGGCATCAGTATTTCCCAGAGTTCCCTGCAGCCAAAAATGCTCCATTCAGGGAAAACCCGGAGTATTTTGGTGCTAATACCTCCAGTCAGCTATCCCAGGGTCACACAACTCTTTTGTAATCACTGCTTACAGGCGGGTTGTAAATGGTAGCAGCGTAATTTTTCAGTGTTCATGCTTGATTTGCATGTATGTTTGTACGTTTGTTTTGTCTAATGCTGCAAATTGCATCTTGCATCTAGCTAAATGGAAAGAGTCTCTGTCCTTCGATTTTCATCTGACCAACTTCACACTTACTGAGGGATGCACCCCAATAGTCGGTTTACCCGTTACTCGCTGCAAGCTGCAAGAAGCAATACCAAGCAATCAGCCCGTTCTGAACAGGCACATATTAAACGGGCACCGCACTAGTGTTGCAGATGTGGTGAAACATGCCCCGGTCTGCAAGAAACAAAAACTGATCTGCAAACTTTCAAGTCAAATCAGGATTTTAGCACATTTGACTGGACAAATTCTGCAGAGTTTTACTGTTATTAATTGTAATATTGTTCTACTTTAATGTATGAGCCAACGTTTTCTTGGAAACCTGCATTGATACTGAGTAGTGAAGGGGAATGACTCACTTTTTTCTCTAAAATCAGTAAAAATTCAAACATTTGTTCTCATGCTGTCTCTTTGGTGATTCACTGGGCTTTTCTGCACCATTATGCTGAGATATCACTGAGCTGCACCTGTGCTGAACAGTTGAGGAGTCCGGAGGAGGTTCCCTCGGACTCTGGGTACGTCAGCTCGACCGCAAACTCAAAGCCCAGCGGCAGGTAACCTGTCATGAAGAATCTGGACACACAGGAGCACAGGAGCACAGAGACACACAGTAAACAGGTTAATCATATAGAATCACAAGTTGATTTAATTGCAGCTCTTCTTTCTGCCAACATTTCTGATACTAATTTGATCTAAATTTCAATAATATATATCCTGGATTTCACATGTGTAGGATTAAGTAATTTGTCACAAAAAGACACCTCCTGCACAGGCTGCACTGGTGATGTGTTTTGCCCCTCCCTCTTTATAATACCTAGCAAGTGGATGTGAACTTTGTACCTACTAAATGACTGAACTTAAGACTAACGCCCTTGCCCTTGGTTGCTGTAAAAGAGCATCCATTGTTATAAAGAACAACAGGTTTTGAAAGCATACCAGTTACATCAGAGGATTTTCTCACTCAATAACACCATGTCATCCTTCAACTGAAGTGACAAAAAATGAAACTAAATTACTAGGTACTTACATCACAACAGCAGCAAAACACATCAGCCTGAGTCAGTACATACTGTATTTCCAGGCACAGTCACATTTATGTGCGCCTCCTCTGCCTATAAATGTGTTTCAATAACAAGGACATAGAGCAGCAAACATGATGCTCTTGCACGTTGTTGCTTTTTCATTACACGTAATACTTAATGTCCATCAAGAGCCTGTTTAGGGATAAGAAAAAGCAAGAAAAATACTTGGGACAATGGTTGTACACACAGGAAGAAAATGACTAAAGAAATGTTTGCTTTATCAGTCGAGTAGCAGGAATGTGAAGCTAGCTGGAGCTCATTTAGTCTCCATTAACAAATGAAGCTTTCTGTGAAATATCTGACAATTCAGCCTGAGTCACATGAATGATGTACACTGTCTGGCATGCATGTGAGCATGTATGTTATATTATGTAGGTGTGCCTTCACAGAAAAGGACGAGCACAATCTGGCAGACCAATCTGCGCTACTGAAGAGGTGTAAGTATTTCACAACAGCCACACAGCCACAAAAAGGTTAAAACTGGGTGTAAAGTACTTCTGGATCTGGTAAAAGATGAAGTTTGAATTCCAAAAGAAGAGAGGAACATGTAGGCGGCCTTGACGATCATTTTTACCTGTAAAGTCAACTGTTAAAAATGATTATACAAAATGTGGTGTGACCTTTATCCATACATTTTATTTTTCCTATAAACAGGATATATCCTGAGTTTGAATAGCAGGTCAGTGTGTAGAAAGGCAAAGTTGAAAGCTAAATAAACACAGCTGTAAATTATTGTTGCAAATGTCAACAGAAATATTGCCCTTTGAGGAATTACCATAACAGAATTCAGTGGAGGGGAAAGCTTAAAATGTGATATTACTGAGCTCACTCCAGCTTGCTCATTGCTATAATCCATCCTGTATTGGATTTGGTAGTAAATATATTTCTTTATACATATTATTTCATTTTTCCATCCTTTGAGTAAACAAATTAGGTGTATTTTGAATGCAGTATTGTACACAAATACAGAAATACATATAAAAAATAAATCCTTAGATTATATTACTTCTATACCCCCCCAAAAAAAAAACAAAGAAATGAATGAAAGAATACCCAAGAGATCCAGCGGTGATGAAGACCACCCAGAGGTGTCCCAGACTTAGTGTAGCAGCATAGACTATCATCCCCACCAGAGACATGAAGTAGACTGCGAGGGTTGTCTGCCTGGAAAAACACACGAGAAAAGCACTGAACACTATAATCGTCATCACCATGATACATTCAGAGTGTTGCTGCATTTTAAATTTTTGTGGATAAGTGTGTACAGTAGGCGCTGTACCAGACAGTAGCCTCTCAAGCGATTTAAAACAATTTATTAAAATTAAAAGCAGCCAGATGTAACATTACAGACAGCTTCAGAATTAAAAGGTACCTTGTAAGGTTTTTGACCACTAGTAGCACTATGGAGCAATGTTTCCCCGTGTTATTTGTTTTTGTGCAAACACAACAGACGCACGTTCATGTTCCTGCAAATGGTCTCCCACTGTTCCACTGATGATCCACAGGTGGCAGTAACGTGCCAACATGGAGTGTTTACTAGCTAATGTTAGGTACAATGCAGGTATAAAACTTGGGGTGGAAAATGGCCTTTTTCTTTTTATGAGGAAAGAAATGAATTCAACATGTTTTTTAGCCCTCAAGGATAGAAACACTGAATGTAAACATAACTTTTGTTTGTTTACAAGAAAACAAACAAACAAAAGTTATGCTTTAAAATGCATTACGTAATTACAGATTATCATTATATAAGACATGTTTGGAGGGAAAACACACAAGATTGTGACAAAAAACAAATTTTATACAGACATACAAATGAAATTAGTATTGATTATAGTGGTATTGGTTAGTGATCATAACAGTAAGTGGTAGCACTTTCCTGGTTAAAAAGAAATCAATTAGAACAATAAACAGCATATGAAAGAAGAAATATGTCCTATCAATTCAAATCTTATACAGCTCTTTAAAAAAGTGAAAATGAATGTAATGCAAATAACAAGCACAGAGTAATTAGAATATCTGAACTTGACAACAAAGCCAGGTGGGACTGAATGTGTCCCCACATGTATGTCACAAACACACCCGCTTTCCCCCCATTTACAGCAAGACTCTTGTAAATAAGACAGAGGGGGGTTTGAGTGAAGCCCCCCATAGGATGGCCACTGCTGTCATTACACAGCTGGAGGACCCATGAGGCAGGAGCCAGAGGGCAGAGAGAGCACTGTTAGAGCAGCATGCAACACCTGGATAAACAGACACAGAACCCCAACAGGCAACACATAACCAAAATATACAGCGAGATTACAAGCCAAATGACAATAAACTCAATTTAAAAAGCGCATGTGGCTGCCTAATGTCACATTGAACGCGGATAAAATGCGAATCAGTCAGTCACAACATTTTCAACAACCCTCTCTGTGCATCTTTTTGAATCCCAACACTTACTTGTAGGTTTTAGTTTTGTCCAACCAAATGCCGCAGATCAGGGAGCCGACCATCCCCGCAATGACTATGGTGAGGCCAATCCTCCCAGCATTCACCTCTTCTCCCTGAAGGTTCATGGAAGTCAGGACATAAATTAGTGACGTTATGCCCTAACTGTACATACCAAGAAAAGGCAAGGCAGTTTCAGAGAAATCTGAATCTGGTGTCGGATCATTGGTCAAAGAAAACTTAATTTGTTAAATCTATTACCACAGTACAGTTTATTGATGTTGTGTTACATTATTTCTGGGTGTTAAAGGCTGAAATGTCACACTATTGGAAGTGTAACAAGAGTTTTGGGCAACAGATCTTTTACCGGATTTTAACACAGTGGAAACACTAAAGCAAAACACTGCTTTATACAGTACATACATATGTCCACATAGAGACAGGAGGCATAACTTACAGGGTAATGGTCGATGATCATCCGGTTCAGCAGGGTGCCGAGAGCATAGAAACAACCAACGTTCAGACCTGCGTGTTGGGAAATACTGTCAAACAAAGTATGCATACCACAAACCACAGGACAAACATATCTACCAGGAAACTTTTCACAATGTTAAGAAGGCATTGTGCTCTCTTCCTCAAGCAAATCATTAAATATTGTGAACATTTGAAGGGTTTTGGTTTTCAGATGTGTCAAATGAACCTGATCGGGCTAGTTTCCTAAACAGAGAGCTGACCCAGACCAAGGATTTCTATAAAAGGATAAAAGCACCTATCCTTTTCCTCTTGAACAAAGGTTTTGGATATAGTCAGTAACTCATACACAGAAAGAATACACAAAAAAACACTTACAAGATCATTAACTTTTCTGGAAAATTGTTAAGAGAATAAATCCTGAGAGTATATAAAATGTAAAAATAACAGTTAAGTATTTATACTGAAGCATTACTTTGTAAATGAGACAGTTTCTTGGATATAACTGGCAGCTACAGCTTATCACACTAATAATAGTGATATGTCACGTGTCAGGGCACTCAGGTGGAGTGAAAAGAGTTTACTTTAACTGCTCACAGCTGTTGGACAGTTGCTGTCACTTGACAAACTTGACAGACTTGACCGACTGGAAAGAAACGTACTTAATATGCTTTTACATAACATGTGTCACACTGATCAATCACATTCGTTAAACATTGTCAGATCATAAACAAACTTTGAACCCCTCCAGGACAAACTCAAGTCTCATCTCTATGAGCTTTGGAATAACTAATGGCTTGTGTGCATTTTTATGAGATTTGAGAGGAAGATAAACCTCGTTACACTTTAAAGGCAGAGTGTCGAGGCTTTCTTGGAAACCTGTTAGTGTTTCCATGTTAAAATAACAGCTATCATCAGGGATAATTACTGACTAATACCTGAATCAGGCAATGAAACATTTTGAGTTGCACCACGTAATTTAACAGTAACTATGAGAATTCAGTGCTGATAATAAATAAGTAATTCCCCCTTTTTTTCATGGCATTTATTATGAATGCCTTGCCGACCAAGCCTCACCTACAGATGGAGCGGTAATAAAAACAAAGCCTAAAATATAGATTTTTACATCAACACCCTGTTTTAAATCTCTTTTAAAGAACTCTTTTGTAGTCTGCAGTAAGACCAATTACTAGTACTTTGAAGGATAGTGATGACCAACCATAAGTGATGATGAGGAGGATGAAGGGCCTGTTGCGGAGCAGCCTGAGGATGGAGGCTGTGTAGGAGTACTGCTCTGGTGGGATGGTACGAGCTGTGGCCTGGGCCTGAGTCGGAGGAAGTTTAGGACGCTCCTGGAAGACTGACGTAAGGAGAGAAAAACACAGTTAACACAAATAACAACAAACTCAACACTATTTAAATCTTCTACACCAGAGCGTACAGTGTAATCTTATGTCGTTGTGTTTTATTGTCGAAAATATTCCATATTTCAATGTGTACTTTATTCTGTCAGTTTGCCAGCCCTCAAAATTTTCGAGTTTCGAGTATATTTATACTTTTTATTTTCTTATATTATACAGTGTTTCAAAGTTTCAGTCAATTGCTTGTAAAGCACTTTGAATTGCATTTGATTTGTTTGAAAGGTGCTATATAAACTAAAACTTCCTAAATGTCCAACTGCATGCAGGTCTGAGAAGCACATGGAGCTTTTTGTATTTAGTGTAAACTATTATCCTAAACAACTGCAAAGATTTCAAGTGAAATGGGTCCCATCCAGACACGGTGGGGCAGGTCCACACACGTAGAGTACGCTCAACACTCCTCACCATGAAAGACAGACTCAAACCCAGAGAACAGTCATCATTTGAAGTGTGATGTGACCTGTTTGTGTTAGTCTTCTTTTTTCCTGGGTGAAAGCACGTGCCCTCCAGCCTCATGGGGAAACACAGATGTCTGTCTTTGTAGTTCTTGGAGCTGAGCCAGCCTTTTCTACCCCCCCAGCAAACCTGACCTGAGGATTTGTGTTTAGCAACCGGTTCTCACTTATCCTATAAAGCTGCTCTTAGATACAGTTGCTATGACAGTACATAAAGAAACTTAGGTTATACATGATCTCAGCTGTGTGGTCATTGATATTCAAAGGAAACTCAAAGTTTTATTCATATTAGTCTTTGGAGTGCTCATACTGATAACTTGTAAAACAGTTTGGGCATGGTAATGTGCCTTGAACACCCGCAGGGATTCCCCTTATTCAGTCAACCAGATGCACTCACGTTAGGTCTTAATGCAGACTTTCTCTGTGGTTAACTTTGGCTGACGGTTTGTTTGGAGGAAAGCAGCAGCCAAACTTCTTCTCTCACCTCTCTTTGCACACAGTTTATGCAAATCTCTGAATCCTGGGACTTTGTCTGCCCTGCTGACTCACAGGCCTGTTGCAGGGCTACAGATGGCCCGGCCAGCAGGACAACCCTCACACATGGCATCTTGCATGTATGTGTGAGGGTGTGCTATGTGTGTGAGTATATGTGTCATATCATGAAACTACTGTGGCCAACTGGTGTGAATTATCTCACTGGAGTAACCAAGAGTGGCATAAGTCACATCCCTGGCCCAATACCAGCCGTCACATGACCGAAAGTGGAAGAAAGTCTATATACACAGTGCACGCTCAGGCTTAGGACTGCAAAAGCTTTGAGTTACATGATGTCTGTTAATTCAGAATCTTTATGCTTTATCTCTATTATATCTATCTTTCAGTTATTTGGGGTCACAAGATGATTACTTGGGTAGGAAATAGGAAAAAGCTACGATAAATTTAATTTAATTTCTTTAATTTTTCTAAAATGAAAGGGTCTGAGAGGGGACAATCCCACTTTGACTAAGGCCACAAATGCACAGAGGCATGCACACTGCGATGAGGGCTGCAAGAACTTTCTGTCGAAGGAACATTTTGAAAATTTGCTTTTTTGCTTTCTTGCCAAGAGTTACATCAGAAAACAGATATCACTCTCATGACTGTACGGCATGTATGAAGCTACAGTCGTGAGACAGGGGGGAAACAGCTAGCTTTACTCAGTAAAAAAGCTGCTTATTGGCACATCTAAATCTCACCAATTAACATGCCACACATTATATCTAAGTTGTTTAATCCAAACCGAAATAAGTCACTGTGTCAGGACAGGTCTAATTATTATTACACATAATTCCAAAGTAAAACAACATGCCATTTTTACGTGTGTACAAATTAAACAAAAAAGTGTTAATTAGTGAGCTTGGTGGTGCTGGTATGAATTTTTTAACCTTTGGATAGAGCGAGGCTCTTAAATGGGGTCACAAAAAAATCACTGAAATAAATAATGAACCAGACTCATATAAATAAAAATGTCAAAATACTAACAGTTGAGTCAGTCTGAATGTTGTACTACGGAATTCCTTGACAAGCTTCCTTTTGTGTTTCTGAATGCAGGACGCTTACGAGCACCCCCGCCCTCTCTCTGCTCTGGTAGGACAACAGCTTTGTTTTTCATCGAACTTGTTCCTCCCCTCTGACAACTACCCAAACCAGTGTTCTCTCTAGAAGAGTGCTACATACTTACAACATTGTTTGCTACAATATTCTGACTAACCACTTCTGTTTTTAATCTACCGCCCTTCTAAATTATATGATTCAAGTTTCCTCCACAAGAAAAATAACATGTGAGGTGCTAATTAATAACATAAACTCTGAGATAAAATATAAGGAGATGGTAGGAAAAAGACAAAGAGGGTCAAAAAGCAAATATAAAGCTGACTACAACTAAGCATTTCCCCTGACAACTCATTTCCTGGTTGTCACGTGAAGTGTACTTCCTTCTACCAGAAAATATCCCTTGTCATCAATATATTTCTAATATATCTAGAACTAACATACACTTTACACAGTAACATCTTGTACTTTTGTGCACATTTCTCCTGACTTTACTCGTACCACAATGGTATCTTTCTTGTCAATCTCCCCTTCAGTGAAGGTTTTGTGTCGGTGCAAACATGCATGTCAGCACTTTTCTTGTCCACTGAATGGTGCTTCTTGTCAGAGTGTAAGTGCTGTAAATTAAAACCATCGTAAGGTAGATCCACTGAATAAGAAAACCCCATTGGCCTGAGTAAAAAAGGCCCAGACAATACACAGTTTCTGAGGGAAGGTATAAAATGTGGAAAGGTTTTGTGGGTGAGGTGATGACACACTTTGAAACCATTCATTTCACTCACTTGACTGCTTCAGTGACCACTTCATCTCTATATCCATTCACAAAAAATCCTTGGTTACATGGTACAGTAAAATCGGTTTTAAAATTGCATTTAAATCCAGTTCATCTACATTTTATGTAAATTCCAAAACTGCCGAAACTGCAAAAAACATATTGCCCTTCATGGTGTCTAGCCATGCGGAAGGTTTCCGTTTCATCTGCTGAGGATTTAAGATATCTTGCTCTGAACTTCACAAATTATCTAAAAATTACTGCACAACACCACTTTGTTACTCCTAAAACTATATCTTGGTTAGAATAATTCACAGACTTTGAAGCAAACGGTTTTCATTTGAACTACTTTCTATTGAGAAAACAATCCCAATACAAATTTCAAAAAATGCAGTTTTCAGTGCTTTGAGCAGCATAAATCAAGTCATCAAGTAAGTCTATTGTATTAGGGTTGCAGGAAATATTTCAGAAATGCAAGTCTCAAAACACATTAAACAAAGAAAATCTGCATTTCTAGATACCACTATAAGTAAGAAAGAAAATACAAGTTTTTTGTTATTGGGGTGGACTGACCCTTTATGTGCTACTTAGCAAATCTTACCGAAGACAACGAGGATAAAGAGTAAGGTAGCCACTCCTGCGGTGATGTAGAACATAATGCTGATGTGGTGAGCCAGCTCGTCCATGTCATCCACATTGGGCACCAGGATCGGAGGCACCAGGAAACCAATGGCAATACCCAGCTTTAAGACAATGAACACAGAAAACACAAATTAAATAAAAAAACTGATATTTTTGCTGCAACAACCATACAATAATCTGAAATTCGCACATGCAGATAAATGAAACACAACACATTACAGCCATATTTTTATATTATTACAACCAAATCAGGTTGCTATATGAGCATGTTTTAACAGCATCTATGTCATCTGACTAATTCAACACACAAGTTCCCGATCGGCCTAAACAGACAAAGTTCAACGAGAAGGTTTCAGCGAATGGTTAACACAATTTTCTCAGGACTCTCGCACCAGGACACTAGAAGTCTTATGTGTCTCTGGCATCCAGTGCAACCCTGCATAATCTACAGACAGCCTCGCTATGTGGACCCTCCTGCAGAAGCAGAAATTAAATGGATTAATTAGACATTCAGACCAACCTGGTTTCCCAGAACTCCTATGGAACAAGCAGTGGAAACCTCTTTCTCTCCAAACCACACTGAGGCAAGGTAAGAGGGAATACCAAGGACAAACACAGTGGCTACTGAGCACACAAACTGGCCAAAAAAGGTGACTGGGAACAGTTCTGGACTGGCACTACCAATTTTTATCCAAGCACCAATGCAGTTAAAGGCTGACCCAACGAGGACAACATCCCGGATTCCCCTGTTGTCCAGAAGCCACAGAACGGGCAGAATAAGTGGGATGTAGGTGAGCAGGTAGATCATGGACAACCAGTCAATGGCCAGAGAGTCAATGTTGTAGAAGCGCATAAATATGTTGCTAATAATGCCGTACTGAAGCCACATGAAGGCATTGCTGGCTGAGACGGCACTGAAGAGAAACAGCATTACCCAGCGACGATGGTAAAGTTTGGTCTCGACCTTGGACACCAATTCTACTTGGTCACTCTGTAAAGCCTCAATGTCTAACCGTGAACCAATGGAGATGGCTCTGCCCAAAGGTCCCGGACTCCACTGCAGCGAAGCGAGGCCCGGAGCGAGGTTCTTTGCAGCCTTGGACCTCGGCCATTCCTCACCACCGAGGTCAGAATTTTCATGGTTGCCTTTCAAAGTATTGTTTTGTGGCATTTTAAAGTTCTGAAGCGGGCCCCTGGTACGTGAGAGGTGAGAGGTCTTGTGTCCTTAACGGCTCGCTGTCCTGAGTGCAAACTGCCTGTTGTGGAAAGACGCTTTTCTCAGAGAAGCCAGAGAGCGAGCACAGCTGGAGTTACTGCAGTCCATTCACAATGTCTTCAGTCATGTCATGTGGTGTTAATATAGGAAATCTTTCAATTCTACCTAAACCACTCCTACCAATCCAGACCCTGCATTGCCTCTTTAGTTAACTGTCCAAATAAGAGTGAGAAAGCCCAGAAAACAAACATTTCTCTGTTGAACTTTAATGAAGTCTTTAGTGAATGCTAACTCATTTGAATGTGAGAAAAATTTTGGCATTGCTGCAACTGGTTAATGTTTTCATGTCTTTGTTATTGATCACCTGTACTGTTAAGGATAATACTTAAAATAGCCCCTTCCTCCAACATTTTGTACGCATTTCGTTCAAATTTTAGACCACAGACTTTTAAATTGTTTTATATTATTTATAAAATGAACAACTCAGTCAGTTTGTGCTGACCGTGCTTGACATTAACTGTTATTCAAGACTTTGGAATCAGAGGACAATAATGTGGCAATAAAGCATGCGATGAGATGTCTTTAAGGGTGTGATATGATTAAATGTGCTGATATAAAAGCAGTTTGGATGCAATAAAATAAATGATGACACAAATTGAGGCTCAATTTGTACAGGATATCTAGGAGAGTCAATTCATATCTATGTCATGCATAAATGACAGTGCTTCTGACGTTAAGAAAATAAACTCTTCATATCTCCAATGACTCTGTGCAATAGTGTGAAGGAACATTTGGATTAGGTGTCTGTAAACGACGGATACACCAAGATTGCAAGTTGAAAGCAAATCTGTTAAAAGACAACATCTTAAATTATAGATGTCAATCTGAAAGCAAATGTTTTTTCTTACTTATTAAAAGTGCACCCAGTAAACCCAGCTTGCCCTCTGCAAATTCTCCAGCACTAAGTGATGACTTTTCACTGACATTTGCTTGAAGTTGATGTACTGAAAGTTGACTCAAGTGTTGTTTGTTCAATGTGTTAAAGCTGAGGCTTGGGAGCTTATATTAACAGAGGCACGATGCTGATCTTTGCACTCCTGTCTGGCTGCAAGTGGATTTTCAAATGCCCTGCTGCTACTAATTTATAATACAATAGCAGCACACTAACTGTTGTCGTATGTGTGTGGATTTGTTTTCATAATAGAAGAGATAAAAAAAACAGTTTTCATGGGTAATGTCCTGCAGCTCTGTGTGTTTAACGTGTAATAAATGGTATATTGCATTCAAAATTATGTCCTTCTTTATTTACAGTTTGATCTGTTTTTTTTTGACTAATTACAGTTAATATAGGCCTAAACTACAGTATCTTAGCAGACTTCTCTGGTCTAACTAAGAACGTTTTGAATGCACTGCAGTTAGAGCACATTATGTGCCACCAAGTACAGGCATTGGCGACTGTTTGGTTTTTCTATCACACAAAGCCTGAAGACATATCAGTATATATATATATATACATGATGTTCTTTCTAAGAATTTGTCCAACTCTCCTTTAGGTGTTCCCTGGACCAGGACCAACATATGTGGAATAGCATCTTTTCCAGAGGATCTGAGGACATCTGAACTTACTCACAGCTACAAGAGATACTTTGTCAGTGTGGCTGTGGCTTGTTCCCCTTTTAAAAAAAAAACATTTTTAGGGCAGACTCATCTGCATTGAATTATAAAGTGTTCAGCTGCGTCCATTTAACTCTCTATTGTATTTCATACAGACAGCTTGTTTTCATGGTATCCTTTGTGTGTTTGCTATTATGGTCTCTTAGAAACAAATATCCTTGTGTTTCATGTTGATGAATTATGAGCAATGACAGTTTTATCTGTGTGTAGGGATCTGTTTCTCTACTGAGTTTAATATAACATGATTAGATGAACTGTTGTCTTCATCTCTCACTGATACAACGTGTTTGTTCTGTACAGTGAGCTACAACACCTCCATGAAAGGTTACATATAAATGCCTGTATGTATTTTCTCGCAAGCTGCTTCACTGTATACTGCTGCCACTCATCCCCCCACATTCTCAGCATGCAGTGTTGTGGCTTGGGTGCACAGGAGACGCTCTGTGGTCGCTTGAACGTGCGTAATTACGCACACGTGCCAAATAGACGTGGGGATGTCCATATGATCAGTGGTTAGTTATTGAGATAATACATGTCTAAATCAGTGATCAAGTAGATGAAGAGACCACTTGACCTAGTTACTGACTGGAGGACAGCCTGGTTTACCGCCTACCTGATTCCCGAAGACTCCGATGGAGCAGGCGGTGGACACCTCCTCCGAACCGAACCACACTGACGCAATTCTCGACGGCATCCCGAGGATGAACACCTGCGCGAACGAGCAGCAGAACTGCCCCAGAAAGGTGACGGGGAACAGGTTGGGTCTGACGCTGGCCACTTTGATCCACGTCCCCGCACAGTTGAGCGCAGTGGCCACCAGCGCGATGACCCGGAGCCCCTTCTTGTCCAGCAGCCAGGTCACCGGGAAGATGAAGGGAATGTATGTCAGCATGTAGATCATAGACATCCAGTCTATGGTGAAGGCGTCCACGTTGTAGAACTTCATGAAAATGTTGTTGATGATGCCGTACTGTATCCATTGGAAGGAGTTGCACAGTGAATACGAGCTGAACAGGAGGACAATCATCCACCGCCGCTTGTACAGACGGGTGGGTCGTGGTGCTTCATGACCGTCCAGCTGACTCTGCCCGTCGGCGCGCTGCACCGCGTCACCCGCCTCCGGCTTGACATGGTTCTCCAAGTCCGTCTTGGTTTGATCCTCGTTTAGTTTAGTATCTCCTAGCCCTTGTTTCTCGCTCATATTAAACGAATCTCCTCAATATACTCATGGAGTATGAAGCTTTCACTCAACTAGTGTGGGTTAGACCACTGCAAACTGAACTGAAAGTGGTTGAAAGTCGCCCTGTTTCATGGGTGAACATCCAGCGCGTCACGTTAACGACAGACAGGCCTACAACTTCATGTTGTCAGCTAAAAGGAGAAGTAAATCTAAACATGTCTTTCAGTATGTGTATCTGAATAGTTAATAAGCAAGTAGTGACGGCTCTACAACTCCCACTTTCTGTGGAACGGCCGGGTCCATAAATTCATTTCCTCCCCCGAGTTGAAGTTTGCTCAGCAGCCGAACTTACGCACAAAGCTTGCACAGTTTAAACAAGTTACAGTTAATTTCATGAATGGTGGCGATCCTTTCTTTCAAGCCGAGTTTCCCAGTGTTAACACGTGTAGGAGCGCCTGCTGTGACCCTCCACCCGGACCTAGAAACCGCTTTGGGATCTTGAAACAAGTCGGACAACGCAGGCACAAGGGCGGAGTTTCATACACTGTTCTTTGTGTTATCTGGACAGCCTGTAACGCTGAGATATCTCACAGTGTTACAATTGGTAACGTCCTTAAATGTCAGCGATTTCCTCTCTGATGCAATATATCTGTCGTAGGATATGTGGAACACACACAACCCATTATAATAACTTCTACTTTACTTCCCAGTCTAAACTAATTGAATATAACTGATCATTTATTTGGTCCTCTTGCCCTATTAATAACAAACTGGTTACAAAAAGTGTGAATACCATGAAAGCATCAGTTGTCTTCAAGGACAAATGTGAAATCATACCCAGACAGGGCAGGCTGTGCATTACTATTTTTGTGCTTTACAACGTTGCTGCACTAACTGCATCTCTTATAATGGTGAACAGTGCCATCTAGGGACTCCCTCGTCAAAGAAATAAAACACCAAGGCCACATGTCCCCTGTTAGAAGCACCAGTTCAGACTTTACATGTTGCATGCAGACATGAAACAAGGTCAGAAACAATCACCTAAAAGGCATTACATTTAATAAATATCTTTGCTGGGTCTTGTCACGTACCAGCAATTATCACCAATACACAAGTCAAGACCCTTTGAATGCCCTCTCCTCACTGCCAGTCATTTCTTTTTGGTAAACCAAAAGCCTTTTTTTGAGGATCTTGACTTTACATTCTTGTTTGTCCACAATCAAATCTGTCAAAAAGCTCCTGAGCATTATCGATCCACATTTACAGACTAAAACACATTAATAAACACAAGAAACTCAAAATATGACGAGGTGACAGAGGATCTCTCTGTGACACTAAAAATAAGCAATTTACAAAAATACTGTGTCATCTGAGTCACCTGAACATACAGTATGTTTTTTTTTTCTCCCAATGTAAACATAAGACTGGTTTATAATTCTACTTATTGAGCCGTGAAAGTTCACATACAGATCACTGATATTATCAGATTAAAGCAAAGACATGAGCAGAAGCAAAATAAATAGTTTTGAATACTGCATACAGTTTGGGTTCCATACTGTCATTGTTTGGCAGACATATTGGCCTGTCATGTTACTCCTTGATCAGTTTTGAACAGTGATTAACATTTATAGACACATCTCCAGTCAGTCTTTCTCTCCATTGAGGTCAGTCATCTGTTCGCAGCACGTCTTTCGGCCGTCTCAGTAGTCATCCAGGTCAGTGCTGGTAGTGTGGTACAGTGATGTGCTGGTGGTGATAGCTGCTGTGATGAGTAGGGTAGAGGAGGTCTGGGGTCTGGGGAGTCAGGCCGGTGCACAGAGGTTCGTGGCTGCTCAGCACGGATGACAGATACTTGGCCTCTTCGGTCAGCTGCTTCACCTCCTTCCTCAGGGCAGCGTTCTCCTTCTCCAGGTTCTCACTTTCCTGGGAAACACACAGGGACAGGATAAGTGATCAGAAAGTGACTGTGGTTTGGCTGTGTGGTTAGATAAGTCAGATAAGACGACACAGAAGTGATACTCTTTCGAGGAAAAGCCAAATCTTTGCATGCTTTTGAGTCTTAACCAGAAATTCAAGTATATTTTGTTCCCCTTAGCATTTTCCAAAGCATGATTTCTATTTGAATGTATTCACTCTATGGGTATCTGTTGGTCCATCTGTTTGGTCCAGATTATATCTTAAAGGTCCAGTGTGTAATATTTAGGAGGATGTATTGGCAGAAATTAAATATAATATCTATAGGTATGTTTTCATTAGTGTATAATCGTCTGAAAATAAGAATTGTTGTGTTTTCGTAACATTACAATGAGCCGTTTTCTTCTACAGAGGGAGCGGGTCCCTCTTCTACAGAGTTCGCCATGTTGAACCACCATTTTTCTACAGTAGCCCAGAATGGACAAACCAAACACGGGGTCTAGAGAGGGCCGACCCTTTCAAATAACTTGTAATAAGTTGGTGGCCACTTTTAAACTAGCACCATCAGGTGTTCAGTACTTTAGTTAATGAATACAGGCCTGCTAAACTAATGACATTCCCAATAGCTTCAGTTGTGTGTTGTGTTTATTGCTAACTAGCTACTGTTAGCATGTTAACACGCTAAACTAAGCTAGGGTAAACACCGTACCAGCTAAACATTAGCATGTTGTGACTGGTTGAATGTTAGCATGCTGGCGTTAGCATTTAGCATCGCAGTACAACTTCACAGAGCTGCTAGCGCTGCTATAGACTCTACAGGCTATTAGTATCCAGTGTGTACTCTTATTGTCTTGTTTTACTATCACTTCTCCCACAACATGGTGTTGGTGGTTGCAGTAGCAGTAGACCCACAGCCTCACAGAGCTGCTAGCATGGCTGGAGACTCTCTGTCATGTTTTCCTAAACTCATAGCAGCCAAAAGTTTCCATTCAGTTCAGTAGATGTGAGATTCAACATGAAGATATCCTACTTTTGTTATCTGTGGTGGCATCATCTCTACTTTCAGTGGAATTATAATTCAACTGTGTATGTGTATAAACTGGGGCTGTGTATATCCAGCAAGTCTCTTTAAGTCCATTTTTATTTGATACACAAGCTATATGAAGACCAGTCAAATATATATATAGCATATATTACATATCATAAATATGAGGTATTTGTTGGGAGTAATGTGGGCTGAAATGTTTTTTTAAAACCTGCTTAACATGGTATTATCAATAATAATAATAATAATAATAATAATAATAATAATAATATTGAAACCAGGTGGTAATGATGGTGTTAATCATGTTTTTGTTGTTGTTGTTGTTGTTGTTGTTGTTGTTTTACAACTATACCATAACATAAGTAATAAAACCACATTATCTTCAGGTAGAGCAACTATTAATGTTTAAGTCTATTCAACTTATTTGTCTGGCCTGAAAAACAAACATACTGAAATGAATGAAGACCAAAAGTTGCTTGGGAGTTAGTAAAAACATAAAAATAAATAAAAGAAAACCCAGAGCACACCTCAGCTTGCCTTAGCTACTTCACTTCAAGGTAAAAGTACAAATACTGAAAAGTTGCCATTCTAACACTTTGGAAGATGTAAGTAGATTTTCCAAAACAAGTTTTTGTGTGTTTTGTACTGATCGCCTTCGAAATAATATAAGTAGAGCAAACAGTACGTCAAAATATTTTTTTTCTTTGTTGTGGGAATAGCAGGGGAGAAATATTCCACTTAAATGAAAAGGTCATCATACCGTGGCCGAAAGATTATAATACTGAGCTGTGGGTCCTTACTGTCACAGAACCTTTGGGCAAACCCCTGCACTTGCGTCACTTAGCCAAATACAGCCCACTGCTATCAGTGTTTTACAAGAAGTGACTGTCTTTTTCTCCCCTCCTGCCCACGACATACAATTTCAAGTTCATTTACACAGAAGAAAAAAATACTACTGAAGAAACAGGAAATAAGCCACCGTGTCATAGAGAGGGAAAATTCGTCTTCCTGTTTATCTAGTGAGACGATGAAAGCTAAACCACAGAGCTGTGGTCCCCTGGTCTCTGTGACTATGACAGGGTTTAAAGAGATTTAGAGAGAAACAGTAATTCATGAGAAGGATTCTCGTGAACTCAAATCGATGGATCTACTACTGCCTACTGTGTGGCTTTTCTGAAGGTCAAAATGTCTTCAGTTCATCTGATAAAGTTCACAGAAACAGCTGCTGTGAAAGCATCATGGTGCCACAATTACAGTACAGCACAAATCATCTTTGCTCGTACGAGGAAGTCACACAGCGAGTGGCTGTGTGGTCAGTACTCTGAAATGGGTGCTGATGTAAGAGGTGACAGCATGTAGAGTTATTGCAGGCTATAAAGGTTCATAAGATAATTACATAATTGCCGAAGAAGCCATAATGTTCATAGACCTGCTGCATACACAGGTCCGTTAATTAACTGAAGATGTGAAAACAAATTGAAGATGTGTGGCCTCTCACTGACAAATACCTGAACCTTGGCAGTCAAAGCTGAAACCAAAGAGGGATCTCTTACAGCAACGACCAACTATCACATGAAACAAGCTGCATTAAAGAACAATGGGGGCAATGAGCAAAGCGTTGCAATTCAGTGCTGCAATCTCTAGTGCTGGATTCTACTGCAAAAAGGGAGTGATTGCCCACACGTGCTAATTTATTCCTTAAGCTTCTGCAAACACACAGAGCAGCGTCCAAGTGTGCAGCCCAACAGAAGCCATGACACATTCGCCACATGGTCAGGTAGCATTTTGTAAATATAGTACAAACCCATTCCCAAATGCTTGAAAGTGCTGTATGGGCACTTAGAAAGTATTACAGACACAGTTACTGTAAGTTCACATCCACATATGGACTTCTATTGGACACTGAACAGTTGGCAGAGCCTTCTGGCTGCACAGACACCTTTGCTCTTTTATCATTATTCACGGAAAATATTGAGATGACAATATTCATTATAGATTTCCCTTCATTACTATATACAAACTTTTGTAAGGATGCCCTAGCTAATGCTGTATCTGCTAAACTAAACAGGCTAGAAATATAGCTTGTGTACAGAGTCATCATTCAATTTCCCATCCTTGATTGTCCTTCTAAACTGTGCAGTACTTCATTAAGGAACAGCAGTATTACATGTAATATCCTCTTTGACAAATGTCTTAAGAAGAAGGCGGTGTGTGCCGCAGAGAAAAGTCTCCTTACCAAATGTAGGCTGTCAGCTTTCTGAGTTTGCCTCATCCTGCTCTTCTGAGCAGCAATCCGGTTCTTTTCCCGCCTCATCACCTTCTTCGCATCATCTGAGGAGCTCTATGAAAATACAAGTGTTGATAGTTACTGTTTGCACACTCATAAACGTCAAATGACAAAGTGAGACGCACAGAGAGTTTCCTGTACCTGATAAAGTGAATTTGCTGATTAAGATCAGTCTGAAGCAGTGTATGTCACTGGCTCCTGCTGGAGGGTTTACGTGTGAAATGGAAGCGTTATCTGTTTTAATGACAGTTTGACAGAAGATGGGCTAAACTTAACACATAATGTGAAGGGCAGGGTCGGGGAGTGGCTGAGTCATCGCTTAGGTATAACGCACACCCTGTTTCATGTCCTGAACACTCGATTTTCTTGGTATCGTTATAACTAAACTCATTTCAAAATGCTGAGTCAGTTGTACATCAAAGAGATAACAAATTATTTATAACGTCCGTTAACGCATAATGAAAACCCAAAACAACTGATACTGCTTTAAAACTGCTTTAGCCACATAAAGTGAAGCCCCCCCCCAGCCACCTCAAGCTTGTAACATGTACAAACATGTAAAAAAACAGCATTTGAATGTTATATTTCTACACTCTTGACCAAGAACAGAAGCAACAATGTGCTACAAGAGTGGCACACGTGAAACCAGTCAGCACTGAGGATGATGAGTCTCACATGCACAGAAACAGTATAGTACACACTGTATTTACCACTCTGGCTGTTCCTGACAGCTCTCAAATCATTCACAGTTTGAGGACTTGCAAAAACAAAGGATTCCCACTGCTTGGATAAGTGATACATTTTGCAATTCACAAAAGCCTACACTTGAAGCGAGTCATGCCTGCAGCCCATGTGTGCAAGTGAAACACTCTGAGGAGCTGTGAAAAGAGCCAGCTTGCTGATTGTTGCTGCCCACCAAATATGCATCAAACACTACATCCAATCTAAGGTTTAGGAGAAATGTGTAGCATTTGAGCCCCAGGATTTGTATTTAAAATGTACGTCTCCACACACCCATAGAGCTTCAGATGTAAGCAGGTAAACTGGCCACATTATCGAGAAAGTACATGAAAGTACACACTTACCGGTCTGCTTCCAGGAGATGGGGACTTGTAACTTGTGTCATTGCTGTCAGAGCCCTGAGCCATAGCCAACTGCGGCGACAGAAACCGTGTGTCTTTGTCCACTTCTGCTTTGTGTTTTTGAGTGTGTGTGTGTGTGTGTGTGTGTGTGAGTGAGAGAGAAAGAGAGAGAGAGAAAGGAGGAGAGAGAGAGTCTGTGTAGCAGAACGAGTGCTGAGAGGAACTTGGCTTAATGAGTCTCTTTCTTCCCTCTTTTCTTTCCCTTTCTGTCACTCCTCCTTCTCTTTCACTCTCTCGCTTGTGTTCTCTTCCTTTATCTCTCTCTCTGTCTCGCTCTCTCTCTCTCTCTCTCCCTCCCTCTCTTTCTCTCTCTCTCTCTCTCTCTCTCTCTCCCTCCCTCTCTCTTTCTCTCTCTCTCTCTCTGACACACATACACTGTGAGACTAGCTGTCTGCCTAATTAGCTGTATCAGATGTGGCTTCTGGTAAGAATCATCTGGGTAAGTTGCAATAGACTGGAAGTCACATGTCTGATGGAAAGTTAAAGCACATAAGGTAATCTTGTAAACTCCAGAAAAATTACATATTGAGGGTATAAGGTACAATTTGAATAAATATGGGCGATACTGGCCATCTCAGGAAGATTTTAAATTTTTTACCTACCTGACACGTGAAACATACTGGAAGAAATAATTTAAGAAGAACTTAATATTTGGTAGCAGCACAATCGAAATTAAAGAAAAACTAACTTTCTCCTAAAAGACAAGATATTAACCTTGCTGCAACCTATTTTTCACAAGTTATTAGACCTATATGTGTGTTTAGTGTGTGTGTGTGTGTGTGTGTGTGTGTGTTTGGGGTGCTTTGTCTGGGTGCAAGTGTGTTAGACAGGCATCGTGGGCATTCCCTCTTCCTCTTTTTTTAGCAGGCACATATGCTATCATGTTTCGATAAATCCTCAAGAGACAGAGCATCCTAAAACTCCACATGGATGACTGGCTTACACATGCTTCATGGTAATTTCCAGAGCTGTAGCGCGCTCTCTTGCTTTGTAACACACCAGCTGCAATAAGGTGAGGCAATGTCAAGGGCTTTGAGCATTGAGAAATGTCCAAGGGGCTCCCCAGAACCCCACTTAGAAATCCCTCGTTGTCTTTCACTCTAAATGACTCTGTGAAGACGTGGGGAATCTTCTAGAAAATGTACAGATTGAGGAGAATTCACTGAATGTACACAGTGGTTTAGGGGTTTGAACGTGTTGGAAGTTAATAAGATTTTTGAGTTCCCACTGTATGACTTTAGAAAGCGTCTAAAAAAGAAACATCAGTGTGTGTCTGACACATACTGCAGCTTTAACGTCCAATAAAAAACCTGCGTTAAAGACTCGGGTGACGGCGGCGAGGCTGCATATGTGAGCTCTTATTATTTTCTTGTTTGCCCCCATCACGAGGTAGCATTTGGTGATGCAAGAACAAGATTTTCTTGTGAGAAAAAAAAAAAAAAAGAATCAGGACCAAAACAGCTTTGCTTGGCAGAACAGCCCTCCCACACAAAAACATGTTCTACCATCACAGGAATTTTGAAGCGCTTGGGCAAGGGCAGACATTTCTAATGCTTGGCATTTAACGCTGTCCAAAAGAGTTGAGACTGTATAAAGAAAAGAGAGAACGCAGAGGAAAGCTGATTAGTCAAATTCTGCTTTAACCAGGACGCAGACACAATACAGTACAAATATAGACAAACAAAACAAATCTACGGCTTTGACTTAGTGCGGCCTAATTTCTGTGTTCAGTATATTTCCAAAACCTTAAATGACCTGAAGGTGCTTGAAATACAGTCTTACAGTCAATGTGGAGTGCATTGTGATCATTGCAACACAAAGAGACATGTATTTGTTTGTCTATTTAATTCAACATTATTTCAGTGCACTGTAAGTGGATTTTTGGTCTTTTTTTTTACAATTGTTTCTCTCTGGTGCTCAATCAAGCTCTTAGCAAGAACTCGCTACTAGACCTGATAGCAGCTTATTAAAGGGAGTAGAGTTCAATCTAGAGACACGCTCGCCCGCACAACATAAAATCCTGAGTAGAATTTAGCAGAAACGATAAGTACGGTTTAAATGAATTTTAACTGCTGCTGTCAACAGTAGTCACTCCTCTTCTTGAGGGCTTTTACTTTGGAAAAACCCTAAAGGGCAATTTATTTAGATAGAAAACTGAGCTGCCTTCATTTGAGCTACGTCTTCCTGGGAAATGGCTGTGGGAGGTTTCTAATAAGCACTGAATTATAGAGAGAAAGTAAAGAACTGACCGCAAATAGCACACGTATTGTGGGTTTAATTATGCTGAACACAGTTATATTCACTTCAAAACAAAGGCCATGAGTCATTGAAGGTGTAAAGTCCAGTCTGTTATGATGATATTTTAACCCCTCAGATACTGTGTGTGCCTTCTTTAGACACATATACTTGACCAATATTCAGACTTATGAACAGTAACTGCACCTTAAAATAATGGTCACTACTTTATAATTGGCATGCTTTCTGGTTGACCACAGAAGTCACCTGTTTCTCAAGAAAGAGAAGAGTATGACCACTGTGAATCTGGGAAACAACATGGTGGTAAATTCCCACCCTTACACAGTTTCATATTAGGTTTAGAACCGCCCTTAAGGTCGTTCTGTGTTTTAATATTATTCAAGACAGGAAGATTTCTTCGAGTTATTCCAAAATGTTGTATTGTGTGCACATTGCATCAGTTTAGATGTGGGGCAACACTTCCTCATGAGAACATGCTGGATTTTGATCTGTAATTCTGTCACAACTGGATCACCATGGGAAAAAAAATCCTAGATTACATTACATCCTTCTAATAAACTGATTTAAAGGTAATTTATAAGGATCCACTGAATGTGAACTGTCCATATGGGAACAAATACACAAAACAAACTTCCTTATTGTTGTGTAATACTGACCACCTGCAGGACACGATGAGGAGTGTTGAGTGTGGTTGGTGTAGTTGCAGGTGTCCTCCAGGGGGAGGCGGTGTAGGACGAGCAGAGCAGCAGGTTTGTGAAGATGTTTGATGGAATAAGAAGATGAAGAGTGAGTGCTGAAGCTGCAGTGTGGTGTAAAGATCTAATGTGTGAGTGTGTGTGTAGTGAGAGCAGTTTATTGGTGAGTATAAAAAGACTGGGTCCCGCTGTATTACTCAGGCTGCACTACAGCGTCTATTCACAGGCGCGATCCCACTACTGAGCGGCACGGGGGCTTTGACCTGCTCCGTTTCCGACCTGGGCCGGTGCACCCCTCCTTAGGCGACCTGGTGGTCCCGGGCTCCCCCAGGAGCACCATATCGATACCGAACTTAGTGCGGACACCCGATCGGCATAGTCCGCTGCAGCTCAGAGCTCCTGAGCTCAAACGATCCGCCAGCCTCAGCCTCCCGGTAGCTTGGATTACAGGCGCGCGCCACCGCACCCGGCGACAGACTCACGAGCTCACAAGAGTTTTGATCTGGAGTAATGTGACGTCATCACGTAGCGCGTGAAAGAAAAGTGCAGCTGCATTGATGAAGGTTGATCCTGGATTAACTCTCACTGCTAAAAGTTTTTAATGTCTGATTTGATGTGATCATAAATCAGCTGATCTGTTTGTGCTGAAACTCTACAGTGATGTAACTTTACAAGAACTGCAGTGTCACAACAATTTACACACAAACACATCTTTATGTGTCACTTACACACATACAACAGTATCACTGACAAGACAACCTGAGAAGAATAACAAAGTTTTATTATGAGAATCAAACAACAGCTCAACAGAAAATCAGTGTGTAAAAAAATCAACATTTACCTCTTAGAGCTTTATAATCAGTCAGAGCTGTTTTGAAACTTTGTTATCTGTCAACAAAAACATTATCAGTGTGAAATAAATCTAAAATCTCTAAGCAATCCTCGTGTCATCAACCCTCAGAGGGAAACATTTCACCTTGATAAAACAATCTTCTCACACTGTGGAAAAACAGCAACGACTAATCTGTGGGATTTTTCACTCTGCTGTGAACATGAAGTCAAGTTATCAGGATGGGTCTCTGTGGTTTTCTGCCCTTTTCAACAGTCAACTGACTAACAAGAAATCCTGTAATACAATCATGATGTAAGCCCCCCTGAAGCCAGTTTACCCAGCTTTTATTTATCTTTTACTACTACATTTTAAAGACCTGTTTACTCACCACAACTCTACAGGATACACTCTGACCCAAATGTGATTGAACCTCACTGAAACATGTTTTAACCCTTTTAAAAGATCAAACAGTCCATGTACTCACACTGTGGGAAGAGACAACCATCATCTTTTGACATTTAGGCACTATTGTGAACATGAAGAGTCAAGTTAGAAAGCTGGACCTGTGTGGGGGTTTTTTGCCTCTTTGCAGCAACAACTGAGGAGAAATAGATAAACTCCAGGTCTTTTAACACCTGAGACATTGTTAAACAATGTGAAGTTATAGCTAATTCATTTATCTTTAGGCAAAACTGTAGAAAACACCCAGGAGTTAATGTCAGTGAGCTTCATGTTGGGTTGAAAAGACGACAGCCTGATGGCACTTTATGTCTGCAAACAGCACGTTGGTAGAAAAGCAGAGGGGAAGAATTAGATGGATTTTTTATGTGAGGATGTAAATAATCTGTCAGCGGGTTCAAACAGCAGATCCGAAACATCAGATACAATATTTTCACTCCATAATCACACAGAGAAGAAATGCTTAACTTTGGTACAACAGCTTTACAACCCTTCAGATACTTGTTGGACCAATGAACCTACAAACATCTATTGTCATTAGTGGAGGAGCTCTGTGTTTTTGTGCTGTGTTTTCTTCATTTGAACAGTTGCTTCACTTTCACTAGAACGAAACTATCCCCACAGAAACACAGATAAATGTGAATGGAAAAGTGTGTTTATGAGTAACTCAACAGGAAGCAGTTTAATGTGTGTGGTTTGCGTTTGGCTCCTCCTTCAGGACACGATGAGGAGTGTTCAGTGTGGTTGGTGTAAGTAAGTAAAGCTTTATTTATATAGCACTTTTTTTAACACAGTTACACAGTGCTTTACAAACAACCAATGAAACAAACACACAAACATAAATATGGGTCTTGTAAACAAAAATGCCCATGCACTGCCAACAACAGTCGGGTGCTGGCAGGTCGCAGGAGCATGTAGTAAGCAATCAGAATTGACCTCCGCACACTGGAATAACTTTACTGTGTTTTATTTTAGAGAGAGCAACACGTTTCGCTTGCAGCCTCCTCAGGTTGGCTTAGCAAAATTAGATGAGCACTCACAGGTGTGACAAATAGGCCGCATATG